CACTACTCAGCCTCCCGGGGAAGGCTTATGCCAGGGTGCTGGAAAGGAGGCTCCGACCATTTGTCGAACCTCAGATACAAGAGGAGCAATGCGGATTCCGTCCCGGCTGTGGAACAGTGGACTATGTTAAAAATGAAAAGATCAATTTGAATAGCTTGTGTGCATGATTATCATGCAATTGACAATGTTGATATTGGCAATGGTATCAGCTGACAAGGTGTGTTTCTAAATGGCAGTGGCACAGTCACCCTACTCACTGTACCTTGCACGTTTAAAAGAAAAGCATGAATATATGAACCTGTGTATTATTTGAATAGCTTAGTATTGAATGCACAATGAAGTATACACGGTACTACGCCCATTTAATATAAAACACAATTTTATACAATATATATATAGTCGGGGGTCCCTGCTCCATCTCTCTATCAGTTTGGGGGTCCTTGGCCTGAAAAACATTGAAGACCCCTGCCTTAGGGTTTAATGTGTTAAAGCCAATCCCGGATTAACTCTCGTTTTTGAACGAGCTTTCTCTGCCTGGTGGTTCGCCTCACTATATCTGTGTTAGTTATTTTTGCAGCTTCCCCTTGGATGTGTGCTTGTGATCTGATACCTGGTCACTACATTTTTAAGGGCAGACGACCAGAAACGTGCCGAACACGGCAAAATAAGGCAGGCAGAGGGCAGGGTCTCTCTGCAGATACACACACCTCCACACACTTCTGGTGGGTCATAAGTGATGATGGAGGGGGATTAATTATCTTATTTGTTTTCAGCAAAAACTTTCTCATTCTGCCTTTTACAAATAAAGTCATCCAGATATATCTGGCATATCAGTATCTAAAATATATTTCACATTTTTACATTTAAAAACAGGCCTAGATGAACCCCTATTTCCCTAAATTGAACAGTACTAACAAAAGACTTGTAGTGTTGATCTTGAGGGCCAAAGTTTTCTGCAGGTTACTCTAATGAATGTGATCCTCATGCATGACGGATGAAACAACAGCTCAAAATGAGTGAGCAGCTACAACATAGCTTTGTGTTGTGGCTTGGAAATGTTCTCACACTCACGATGGCACAGTGTGCCATCTCGCCTGCCAGCTCGGTCCACTTAGTGGTTAAAGTATGCAAAGCACGCCAAAAATCACAGACACCCTCCATTTCCATCTTAAAAGAAAGCTGAGCTTTACTAACTTCCTGTCAACAAGGACGCTTAAAAAGCCTGTGTGGCCCTGAGCTCAGCATGGAGAGCTGAGCGCTGCTGGCCACAGGTGGGCAGGGATTTGTGAATGGGATAATCAAAGTAGGTAGTTTTAAGGGGTGACAAAGAGTTTAAAGACATCAACTTTCAAAATGTACGTGGCATTAATATAAACCTGTATTTACATTTGTCATTTTGAGAAGTACAATAAGACTGTACCTGTCGGCAACTGGTTTGGCAATGTTATTAAATATCTCTTCTTGTTGGACAGCTTGATCAAACACCTTTAGGAATCTGGACAAAAGTGAGAAGCACCGAAGAGGTCAGAACATCTATTATTGAATTTACTACCATAACATACAGAACGTATACATTCACGGATTATCTCACACGTCTGCTTAATTTCCCATGTGGATGAGGAGGAGTTTGATCATTCCATCCTCTAAAGCTGTCTCAGCCCGTCATGTTTTTATCCCACAGAAAGATGAGAGCGATGTGAGAGGAGTCCGCCCAGGAAGATTGTTAAATGTGGACATTTTATTTCTATAAGGGCACAAGGGAACCTCCGCAGGCTATTATAAAACTCTGTGGTTTCCAACAGGCTCTCGGTGTCCGCTGCTGTCTGACTGTGGATTTAGGGCTTGGGAGCGTGGCATGGGCCCTGCCCGGAGGGTACAGTATATAAGGCTGCAGCTTTCACTACCAGTGTTAAACAGATGTTCTGGCTCTGCACTGCTCTTATGCAACTTTGAGAGCGTACATTCTGCTGGGCAGCTCAACGTCCTCCACGTTGTATGATATCTTTATTCGTCATAAACTACACAGTTGCTCCACTCTTGCAGATTTTAGGTGATTTTATTGCTCATCTACAATAGTCTTGTATTGCCCAACTGGTGGCCATTGCTGGTGTTCTGCACCCACTTAAGACTGAAGCCGATTATACTTATATTATAAAGACACTGCATGTTGACTGCATGCAGTTTTATTTATTATTAATCTAATTTATATTTCTATAAAGAAACTCCTGATTTTTTTTACGTAGAAGACGAAACTGATCAGTTTGGTCACAGGAAATGAGAGAACCTTTCTCAGGTATTTAAAGTCGCAAATATCAAAGCTTTCACTGGCTATAAGTCCAATAAATACTCTACAGTGTTAGTGATACTGAGTATTACAGTACAGCCAGACAGGTATTTTAGATTATTATAGTGGACTTCAAAGACCGCTGCAATTGAATTTACTTTGACCAAATTAGGCGGCCAATCTCGGAAATTTAGCAAATGGAATAATGTAATACGATGAATCTTTATTGTTGCCAGGGTGGAAATTTGTCTTTGGCTCACCAGACACAACATCTCTATACAAACACAGGCTTTACAGATAGAAATACAGCTCTACCTGAACTTGTAGCACTCCCTCTTGTTGTTAACAAAGCCCTCAGCCACATCCCTGGGCACCAGAAACTCCAAAGAAGCACCTGTTGGCTCCTCGTTGTCCACCGAGTACACCTGAGGGAGCCAGAGACAACAGCAGAGTCAGTCCTCTGGTGGGACAAGGCTTACGGACTACTGTTCATCATCGCAGGGCAAGGCAGAGCACGAGTTTACCACAATATTTGGACAGCACTTTAGAGTAGCCATAGGCATTCATTACCCTTTTGAAAGAGTTGTCTCCTATATGTTCTTTGACCGTTATGGTTACCGTATCATGCAGTGCATGCAGCCCAACTCAAACACTAATACAATCTAAAATATAAGTTTGGCCACTTGTGGTTTGGATAATGCAAGCCTCGAAATGAAAAAGCTTGCGTTTATGAAGCATGCATTCTGTGGAAAGCAATAGAACGAAAACAAGCAATCACGATCAGTACCGGTCAAGCTCTGCAATATCACCTCCGCTCAGCGTCGCCCCAGGGGAGAGGAGAAAAGCTGTGGAACATTAAACCGATATAGATTGAGCTCTAGCAGCAGAGCACATTCAAAGCGAGGGCCGGCTGGGTCAATCCAAACACCCGCAGCCCTCAGCATATGTTCTGGCATATGTTTCGGACGGACACTGATGCAATTACAGGTTTCCAGGGGTTTCGAGAATGAAAAGATAAGACCTAAATGATTGGATTGTTTTCCACCCTTAACTCTGGCAGCGTCACCTCCTCCTGACCACCGCTGCTCTGCTCAGAAACCTTTAAAAAAAGCCCCCAGGAGGAAGCTGTGCTTATTTCATTTTTGCTGGATATTGTCAAGCTCACGCTGAAGTGCCACAGAAACCCTCAAAGTAATTTGATAATTTCTTCCATCAGCTGTTGCACTCAGACAATAAACAGGGTTCTAGGGAGAATAGTGAGAGTGCTACCAGGGATGTTTGTCAATAATAACATTATTTATATATTTTTACATCTGTATCCAATATAGAGGCCACTCATCTGATAGTAGGTGAACATTTATACGGATGTGTGGGGGAAAAAAGTAAAAGAAAAACACCAGTAGGTTAGTCGATATTATTGTACAAGCTCGCCACTGTTTGATACCTAAATTAAGAAATCTGACTCTGGCTCAGTAAGAGTATGATGCAGTTTAAAGAATACATATTTATTGCGTGTATAAAACCTGCATTGGTTGTCACTGGGAACATCTTTACCTGAACTGATTCAAATACAACAACTTTAATATCTAATGTGGTGGGGGGGAAAGGCGTCTCCATTAATCCAGACATGAAATGAATGGAGCAACAAGGAAAACTTGTAAACATACTGAACATCAGCACAAAATACTAGCTGTTGGCATATTCTGCCCCAATAGACCCATTTAGCAGGAGGTTTACAATGTATGGTCACTTTACCTTCTGATTGTTTTTTAGCCTGCTAGTGGTATGCACTTTCACATAGTTTGGCGTGTCACAGCAAGAAAAGCACAGGTGTAATTAGAAAAAACATGAATTGCATTCCATGCAGCTGTGCCAGTTCCAGGGCCCTGGTGCTGTATAGTAGATGATTTAAAAGGTTAGATCATTTATTGGGAGACTTAACGTTAATGGAAGGGAGGGAGCCATCATTACAGGTGTGTTTTTAACGGGTCAAACCTGTTGTTTTGTGATCAAATGCCGTTCTGAACTGGGAATATAAACCAACGTGCTTCATGACTGGAGAGCCCTCATTGATACGCCATTACTAGCTAGCTTAAATAAGCATCCGGTCTAACCTAGCATTACCGCTATACACCACGTTTTATTTACATGTTGTTTGAGTTGTCCACTTACCCCTGTAGTTTTCTTAGAGGGTTTAATGCGACCAAATATCTGTATCGTCTGTTTCACCATTTTTCCCCCCTTAAAAAAAAGAATAACCGTTCAAGTTTGGTTCGTGTTTGACGTCACTGGTTAGCTCGCGGGCTAACGCGGGCGTCGTGCTCTCTCTAGTTTGATGCAGCCGGTTGCTAGGCGACGGCGGTCCCCTCCGCTGACAAAGATCGTCTATATTTATGAAGATGATTTATCAGTGTGAAACAACCGTTCCATCTACCCTGCTCATTCTCTCTTTTATGCCTAATGACTGATGGCGTAAGTCGGAACCAGTTCAGAGAAGTCCAGATAGGAGTGTGTGTTGGGGGCACGTGAATAACATTGAAGACACTGTTAGAGGTGAAAAAGAAAAAAGAAAAACAGGGATGCGTAACTGTTCTATTTTCTTGTGATGTGGGTTATTCTCTAAGTGGGTGTTTTCTGTATTCAAGACAAAAGGTCACTGAAGGTTCAGAATCAGAATCAGAATCAGAACCGTTTATTGCCAATGTATGTAACATACAAGGAATTTGTCATGGCAGGTGGTGCATAACATTAGACAATCAACAACAATCAACAGTGCAAGGAATAGAAACATATTCAAATGTACAATAGAATTTAAAAGAATGTAAAATAAAGTGCACAACAAACAGATAACAGGACTGTAAACAAGTGTAATATAAAAGTGACAAGTGTATTTAAATATGAAGGGATGTGCAGGGGAGTAGTAGGGAGGGAAGGAAAATTGTCCTGGGGATGACAGAGTCAGTGGGGGACCCGGGCTCTGTTAATGAGCCCGACTGCGGACGGGAAGAAGCTGTTCATGTGGCGTGAGGTCTTGGTCCTGATGGACCTCAGCCTCCTGCCAGATGGAAGGGGCACGAACAGTTTTTGTCCAGGGTGAGAGGGGTCGGCTACAATCCTTCTTGCTCGCTTCAGGGTTCTTGAAGCTAACAAGTCTTGGAGGGAGGGCAGATTGCAGCCAATCACCCTCTCAGCAGAGCGAATGATGCGCTGCAGTCTGCCCTTGTCCTTGGCTGTGGCTGCAGCGTACCAGACTGTGATGGAGGAGCAGAGGATGGACTCAATGATGGCTCTGTAGAAGTGCACCATCATTGTCTTTGGCAGGTTGAATTTCTTTAGCTTCCTCAGGAAGTACATCCTCTGCTGAGCCTTTTTAGTGATGGAGCTGATGTTAAGCTCCCACTTGAGGTCCTGGGTTACTTATGATGGAGCCCAGGAAGCGGAAGGACTCCACCGCGTCAACGGGGGAGTCACACAGGGTGATAGGGGCAGGTGGAGCTGCATTCTTCCTGAAATCCACAACCATCTCCACTGTCTTTAGAGCGTTGAGCTCTAGGTTGTTCAGACCGCACCAGGTCACCAGATGGTCAGTCTCCCACCTGTAGGCGGACTCCCACCAGAGATGAGTCCAATGAGGATGGTGTCATCCGCGAACTTCAGGAGCTTGACAGACTGGTGACTGGAGGTGCAGCTGTTGGTGTACAGGGAGAAGAGAAGAGGGGACAGAACGCAGCCTTGGGGGGAACCGGTGCTGATGGTCCGGGAGGCTGAGACGTGTTTTCCCAGCTTGACGTGCTGCTTCCTGCCAGACAGGAAGTCTGTGATCCACTTGCAGGTGGAGTCGGGCACGTGCAGCTGGGAGAGCTTGTCATGCAGCAGAGACGGGATGATAGTGTTGAAGGCAGAGCTGAAGTCCACAAACAGGATCCTGGCATAGGTTCCTGGGGAGTCCAGATGCTGGAGGATGAAGTGAAGGGCCAAGTTGACTGCGTCATCTACAGACCTGTTGGCTCTGTAGGCAAACTGCAGGGGGTCCAGGAGTGGGTCAGTGAGGGTTTTTAGGTGGGACAGGACCAGGTGTTCAAAAGACTTCATGACCACAGAGGTCAGGGCGACGGGCCTCTAGTCATTGAGTCCTGTGATCCTTGGTTTTTTGGGGACGGGGATGATGGTGGAGGCCTTGAAGCAGGCTGGTACGTGGCATGTCTCCAGGGAGGTGTTAAAGATGTCTGAACACCAGAGGCAGCTGATCAGCACAATGCTTCAGGGTGGAGGGGGAGACTGAGTCTGGGCCGGCTGCGGCTGTTCAGTGACTCATACAGTGATTGACAGGGGTATACAGCGCTAGACACTACCCACACATAAGATGCAAATAGGTTCAACCACAATTGACGGACTGGACAGTCATGGATATATCATAAAATAGGACATTTAGCAATGATTACCACTGTGTCTGAAGGTACTGTAGATGTTGCATTAAATAACGTTTAAAATACATTTTAAAAAACATGACCAGCAGCAAACCATAGCATTTCACATGCATTTTTTCTTTGATAAACCACAGGTGCAAACATTCTGTGTTGTGGATATGAAAAATTTGAGAAATCAGACTGCAGAATTCTCCATGTGTTTTGTGCACAATGTGAGGCAAAAGGGGTGGAATGCAACAGGTACCTTTAAGGTACTTTAATCCTTTAAGGCAGGGGTCTTCAACATTTTTCAGGCCAAGGACCCCCAAACTGATGGAGAGATGGAGCAGGGACCCCCGACTAAATATATTGTATAACATTGTGTTTTATATTAAACTGGGCCTAGTGCCATGTATAAACATACCTCTTTATTGTGCATTCAATACTAAGCTATTCAAATAATACACAGGTTCATATATTCATGTTTTCATTTTAAACATGTGCAAGGTACAGTGAGTAGGGTGGCCGTGCCACTGCCATTTAGAAACATACCTTGTCAGCTGATACCATTGTCAATATCAACATTGTCTGTCAATTGCGTGATAATCATGCAAACAAGCTATTCAAATTGACGATTTTTTTTAAACATAAATGTGGAAACGAAAATGAGTGATGGCCTATTAGTGCCACTGCCATGCATAAACATACCTGTTATATTGTATACAATACTGAACTATTAAAATAATGGACAGATTCATGTTTAGAGAAAAAAATATTACATTTTTTTATTTTTTATTTTTAATTGTCTAATCAACCAAAAATTTTGCGGACCCCCTGCAGTACCTCCGCGGACCCCCTAGGGGCCGCGGACCCCCTGTTGAAGACCTCTGCTTTAAGGTACTATCATTGCTGTGGTTGAAGTTGACTTTTGAATAATACCACTTATATTACCTGCACAGTGTAAGGCTTACAAAGAACACTGGCAGATGTTAATGGCACGGGGATCCACCAGCAGAAAGCAAAACATGCCCTCTCATAGAAACCCGTGAGGAACAGAAATTCCCTTATCAGCTGACTTACACAGAGCCATATGTCTTGTATTTGGGAAGGTGGGGGGGCGTGTTGGTGGGTGCCTTCGACCCTGTCTGCAATGTCTGTTTCTGGTATTTCACCTGTTTCTAGTATTTCACCTGAACCCTGTATGCCCCCCCCCCGACAAATATAGCCTTCTCCCAAGCTGCACACCAGCCAGCATAGCGGGAAGGCTGCATGGTTTCATGGTGGCACTCAGGAGAGTGTAGCATGTTTGTTCCGGTGCATTCCTCGGTGCCACAGAAAAAACACTTCTTGAGTGGTGCATTGTTTTTGATATAGTCCTGTGTGTCTTGTTGCGCATGGCTATATCCTACATGCTGCTGCTTTTAGTGGGCAGTTTGGTTTAATTGTGTAGATAATCATATGCCAAATCGCGGTGCGGTTGCCTCTACAGCATTACTCTCGGACAAAAATGGTCAACCTGCTGTTAAATACAAGAAATTGTAAATGAAATACTAAACTACTGCAATAATGGTGCGTTCACACCAAACGCGGCGTGAATTATTCGCGTGAGTATATTAAATAGTCTATGCACAGACACGATGAAACTGGAGTAGCGCGAATTTGCGATGGCGCGGCACGAATTCGGGCAAAGTTGCGCAAATTCTCGTCAAACGCCAAAACGCCCCAAACGCGTGAGTTTAAATTTTTCAACTTTGGCGAAAAAAAATGGCGTGACGCTGCTGCGCGATAGCCTATCAGCATTGAGATGTGTCTCCTGTCATCACTGACGTCCTGCCGTTGTTGAATCAGGAAACAAATACTGTAGCCGTCTGTGTTCACCCAGAGCTCTACGATACCTCATATCAATAGAGACCGGACCAAACTGTGTGTATAAATGTGTGTGTGTGTGTAAATCTTGCGGAGAGAACTAACTAAACATGAATTCAGACTTTTTACAAATCGGCATCATTACATAGTTATTTCGGAGTCCCTTTTTGTCGATTTATTGCCGTTAAATCACAGACAAATCAGTTTATTTAGTGTTCATACAGCTGTAGTAAACAGCCGATGTGTGGCTTGCTAGACACAGTGAATACAGCTCGATAAAATCCATGGAGCTCCTCCGGATGATGTTATGAACCAGACATGATGGCGTTTAGTTTCCCGTGATATCTGTGACTTCCACAACACGTACTAAGCAGAAATATAGGTTATTTTTTCCATGGTTGATGGCGGCTTTCAGGGCGATAAGCCACGCCCCCTCTCAGGCGCGTCCAGCGCGATTCACGCAAATTAACACAAATGGCCCCCCGCAAGACCGGCGGCGCAATTAACGCGGCGCGCCGCGTTTGGTGTGAACACGGCATAAGTACTACAATACTTGTCCCCTCCGTGTACCCTAATACATACTTGTCCTTGTTCCCAAAGCAAACACCTTTATTTCTCATAAAATTAGGTAAAAAGACCACACATAACTTCTTAGAACAACATAAACAGTTTGTCCACTCGCACAGGGATAAGCATTCATGAGAGGATCGTGGCTCCGAATGGTGAAACACAGCCCCCCACACGCATTCCTTCAGGTTAGACTGTGTGTGTTCGGGATGTTTTGTGTGTGCAGCCTTTCAGAAGATTGCTGCCGACATGTTGCCGTTGCAACAGCAAAGCTCCCGGTCGTCAGGCTCATGCTCCTCACCACGCACAGCTAAACGAAAGCTAACCCTGGAGCAGTAAGACAACTTCAAACAGGTAGCGTTTTCACGGGGCCGCCGGGTGCAACACGCCCTCGTGGCAGCCATGTTGGAGGTCCGTATCACAGTATGAACAACCGACTAAACCCTCTCAACGGACTCCGGATCAGTTTGGATGCAAGCCATGTTGATACACATAAGATTCGCA